TTCTTCTATCAAGGTGAAAAACGGTTTTGGGCTTTTGATTGGGCTATTTAGCTCATGTTAAGTGGTGGGCCTAAAACTCAAAACTGACCCGTTTCTTTTACTTCTGTTTTTTCCCCATATCAGCATTTTCTACAGAAACACCAATGGAGAAGAAAGGGAGCAGCTCGAGGATGAATATAGCCATAATCCATCCCGATCTCGGAATCGGTAATTATTATTATAAACGTATTTTAATTTCTTGATAAATCTTTTGTAATTGCATTTTGTTGAATCATTTTTTTTCATTCATCAAAATGATTTATAGGTAGGAAATCATGAATTCCAAAATCCTAGACCTATAAAATAGGACAGTTGTGGTAGCTTGACGGCCAACATAATGATAGTCGTAATGTGGTAAATCCACTAAAATTAAGCTCATTGGATGTGCTCAGTGCTAGAATACAATGGAAATATATATATAATATTTTGGCTAAGATTGAGTGGGTTTACAAAGCCGAGCTCAATGAGTTTAGAATTGAGGTGTAGTTGAATGGTTCTTTGATAAGGAAAAGAATTGTAGGGAGTAGATGAAAGTAATTAACATCATCCAAAAGAACTGGAGTTAATGAATTGATATTTCTTGTGTGTTTCAAAACGAATGAGGAGTTAACACTTAACAGTCCATTGGGTTTTTTTCTATCTACTTTTATATTATTAGACATCAAGGTTGCATAGGGAAATAGAATTATTAGTCTGACTATGTGAGCTTAGCATATTCCGTCTCAAGCTCTGATAAAGGAAGAGAGTTGCAGTAGGTTGATGCCTGGTCTAAAAATAATCATTATATGAATCCTTTCAAATATGAGTTAGTTGGGACTCAGGGTGCTGCATAAAGAGGAAGCATAGATGATTTTACGATGCCAACATGCCTTTCTTGACCTTTTGGCTAAGATCATTAGGATTTATATAGCCGACCCGAACTAGTTCGGGATTGAGGTGTAGTTAGATGGGTTCATTTATAAGGACGAGAATTGTAGGGAGCAGGTGGTAGTAATTTACATCCTCCCCATTAAATTGTTTTAGTTAATCGACCTTCTGAAAGAATGATTTTTTCACAAAAGAGTGTTCTCTGTGGCTTGGTAACTCCCTGTCTTTCATGCGATTTCTGTTTTTTTTTTTAAATTGTTGATTACTTGGTTTGATACTTTGCCGTACAAATCAAGTTAAGTCTCTTTAGATGCGAGCAATAGAGGTGTCTAATAAATAGGATGGCATTATGCATCTGAGGACTGTATTTTCTTGTAAGGTTATTTTGCACTTTTATCATTTTAGCATGGATGACAGATTCTAAAGCTGTTGATATGCAATTAGCCTACTCTCTTCCCTTTGGGTTAGACATTTCACATTTGTCAGCTTTTCAGTACTTTATGTTTTCACAATCCAATTGGTCCTTGAGGATGGTTGATCGAATCTGTAAAAATGAGTGGTAAGTTCTTAGGCTATTTTCTTGGTTGTACAAATTGTGGTTTAAAATTTCCTTGAAATGAAGAAAAGAAAAGGAACTTGCATTAAGATTTTATCCTTTACGATTTATTCACAGTAAGAGATGCATCATTTTGCACTTAACTAATTAACTAGGCTAGAAATTTTCTCCAGTTCATGTTGATAGGCTTCGTCATGACTTTTAAGACCTTCTACCTTCAGCTGAACATATAAATATCTCTTGTATACTTGTAGTAATGCTTCTGCAATATCTAAGTGTGTACGTTGTGACTGTCATATGCTTGTGAGCATAATTCTGTGGTAACCTAGTCTATGCAATGTGCAGATCTATGGGTTAATGGAGGCTCATCTTATGCGTGTAGCGTGTCTCTGACATTTTGTGATGTTCAGGTGGAGCTGAAAGGCTAATTGTTGATGCCGCTATGGAACTTGCTTCTTCGGGGCACAAAGTTCACATTTTTACTGCACACCATGATAAAAATCGATGTTTTGAGGAGACTCTGTCTGGTCAGAATTCTTACTTTATATTCTCTCATCGTACACCCGAAAAGAAAAATGTATTACGCCCTTTGTTGACTGATATAATATACATTTACACCCTTTGCAGGTGTCTTCGATGTTACAGTATATGGTGCTATCCTTCCCCGTCATATCTTCTATCGGCTTCATGCAGTTTGTGCATACTTGCGGTGCATGTTTGTTGCTCTCTGCTTGTTGCTTATGTGGCCTTCATTTGATGTAATACTAGCAGATCAGGTCTCTGTTGTTATTCCGCTATTGAAGTTAAAGAAGTCAGCAAAGGTATTTGGATGCTCTAATAAAATCAACTCCTAAGATATGTCATAGAGATAAAATGAAGTTTATACCTCATGCAGGTTGTATTCTACTGCCATTTTCCAGATCTCTTGCTGGCGCAACATACAACTGCACTTAGGAGGATATACCGGAAACCTATTGACTTCATAGAAGAAATAACAACAGGTCTTTCACGACAGTCTGTCTTTTATCCGTGTTGTTTGTTTTTTTCTTTTATCAATGTTTTACTTGTTTTTTCTCATCTGTTCAAACATCTGCATCTCTTTACTTGCTTGGTGAAATTATAGGAATGGCAGATTTGATCCTGGTTAACAGCAGGTTTACTGCATCTACTTTTGCGGAGACCTTCAAGAATCTAGATGCGCGTGGGATTAAACCAGCTATCTTGTACCCAGCAGTCAATGTGGATCAGTTTGAGAAACCTAATGATTCCAAGTAAACACACATTTCCTTCTCTTGGCACCTTCTAGTTCTTGGTTTGATTGCAATAACACAATACAATCCCTTCCATGCACTTTCCCCTCTAAAAAAGAGAGGGGAGCTCTCAAAAAACAGATGTTAGTATAACTTCAGTTGTTCGTTTGTTTTAGGTTAAATTTTCTATCCATCAATCGATTTGAGAGGAAAAAAAACATAGAGTTGGCAATATCTGCCTTTGCCATGCTTCACACCCATGAAATGCATGATCGTCAGGGAGTTAACATGAATGATGTTTCCTTGACTGTTGCAGGCAAGTTTATTTAATTCTAAGTTCGATGTATTTTGCATTATCCACTGTCATTTTCTTGTGTTCTGTTTTCATTCTATCATCTCTTTTATTTGCGGTTGGTATTTATCTTGTATGGTTTATTTGCATTATTAAAAGACTCAGAAAGTAACTGCTTTTACTATCTTGTCTATTTCTAGTGCAAAAATATTCTGATATTCCATTACAGATATTCATAGATCACGGATAGCCAATAGATTTAATGAATTTCTATGTGTATATAGCTTGTCTGATCTCATATGTAAATGAAAAGGATATTCAGTGCCCTGAAACTATACAAATATTGTTTTATGCTGTTTTGTGATTACTGAGATGTTGCTCAGTTCACGAATTTAGCGATAAGCCTTATTTTCTCAGTTATGTTGCCGAAAATTGCTTTGTTGCACTCAAAATTATGAAAATGTTGCTCTTTGATATGCCGTTAACACCTTTAAATAGATGGATTTGAAGATTGCTTCATTAAACGAAATCCAAGATACCTGTTGTCTACTATCAGTGGCAGAATATATGCTCAAAAGAAATTTTTATTGGCTTAGAAAAATTACCATAAAACCTGTTGTAATTTAATGGAGTTATTCCTGCTTTTTATTTCAGGCGGCTTTGATAATCGCCTCAGAGAGAATGTTGAGTATCTGGAAGAACTGAAAAAGTTGGCACAAAGGGAAGGTGTTTTTCATCGGGTCAGATTTATTACATCTTGCTCTACTGCTGAAAGAAATGAACTCCTTGCCCAATGCCTATGTGTTCTTTATACACCAAAGGTATGTCCGATTTTGTTATCTCTTCGACGACGGAAAGCGAACAGCCTTTCTTTAGAGAGTGACTTATAGGATGAACAGTTTTTGCCTTAGAATTTGCCCAATGCCTATGTGTTCTTTCTTGAGAGAGTGACTTAAAGGAAGAGCATCCTCATCTTTTCTCAAATTTTTTCACCTTGAAAGCAGGATGACCTTTTCTTTTCTTCTTTTTTCCTTTTTATTCTTTTTTGGAGGAGTAGGATGAGCATTTTGGCATTGTCCCTCTGGAAGCAATGGCAGCCTACAAACCGGTTATTGCCTGCAACAGCGGGGGTCCAGTGGAGTCAGTAAAGCACGGAGTAACCGGCTTCCTCTGCGACCCTAGCCCACAGGAGTTCTCTTTGGCAATGGCTAATCTTATTCAGGATCCTCACATGGCAGAGAAAATGGGGCAAGATGCTCATGAACACGTCACTGAGTCATTCTCTACCAAGATATTTGGCCAGCATCTGAATAGATACCTGGTTGATGTCGCACGAGGTAAGAATGAATAGCATCCTTTCGGACTACTACATTCAAAGGAGTGGACCTATCAGGAAGTTGTTGTTAGATTAACTCACAGGGTGATTGTACTACACTTATTGTGATACAGAAATAGCTCCCAAAAGTTAGGACGACTTTTTGTTTTTATCCTTTTAATGCTTATGAAAAGGTGTACATTACATAGTAAATACTAGAAGGTTATGGCTTTGTGGATGTGGTTTCTCGGCATTCTTTTTCCTTTTACTTGCTTAAAAGGATTCTTTTTTGGTCTCTCAAGCTTACTTAGCATAGGCATTTCATCTTATACCTGATTGATGAGATCTCTCAATGAACTGAATGTGTTATTCTTATGCTAAGAACAATTCAGTGAATGACATTCATCTGATTGATGAATTCGCTCGTCCGTAATGAAAATATTAGTATCAATTTTTGTATTCTTTTAGTATCCCTTCCCTGAACCCCGCGCATAGCAAGAAATTAGTACGACACGCTGGTCTTTTGTTTGTCTAATTAATTGAGAACATTTACAGAATTTGTGAATATACAATTATCGTATAAGTCAGTTTAATTGCAGATTTGACCATATGTCATTGGCATAAATCTTGTCACAAGTTGAAGATGATTTGATGAATCTGTATTTTTTACCCTAACCGACTGTGGAATATCAAATTTAGTGGTCTTTTAGCAGTCAATATTGATGGCTATTAAAAGCAGTCCTCCAAAGGCAGAATGCGAAAACAGAATGGAAATATTGCTCACTGCTGCTTCCTTCTTTGAGACTTAAATACTGCTTCCATCCTTAATACTGCACTATGATAATTTACATGCATTTCGTATTCTGCAAAAAAACTGACTTATTTTAAATTATGTACACGTCATGAATATACTCAAAATTACAAAACCAATGAATTAATTAAAAAATTATCAAAATCTGAAGGAGAAGTTATTGGCCGTCGATAGACCACCAATGGCGATTTGCAAGTTATTCTCATGAACTCATGCTTAGGCCGGAAGTTCATTTTCTCCATTGTTATTTGTCGAGACCTCTACTTTCCCCCATTTTGTCAAAAAAGTCAGTAGCAACATGCCCAAAGATTGGCAAGCTAGACCAGAAATCAAGCCCAACCATAAACCCTGCATCAAATATTTTCCAAAAAAAAAAAAAAACTAGGTTACATTTGTAGAAAGAGTATAAGATCTATGACAGGGAAAGTCTATAGATTTTTAATACGATCATGTTAAATGACGTGCAACATGTAATAATTTGGTGAGTCATAGAACAAAGCAAATAACCTGCTATAAATAGTGGTCGATGCACTTAAATTACCTGAGCGTGGAGTTTGAACTTGAAAGCAAGGAGGCCAGCTATTGGCATGCCAATGAAATAGAAAGTTGCCAAGTTGATGTACATAGCCAAATGCTGCCATCCGCATCCCCTAGTTACTCCTGATCAATTCATTTAGAGTTTCTGTTTTAGCAGGGTCTACTGAATGTGTAAACTAAAATATAAATGTCTCGCATAATATCATGCATTGCAACTATAACAAAATATTTAACCTGATAGGATTCCTTGAACGAAATCGAACACAAAGGAGATTAAGAGGAGAGGTGTCATGGAGGCAAATTTGTGAATTATCTCCGTGCTATCGCTGAAGAGGCCAGCCCATGCATTATGCCCAAAACCTAGAGCAAAATCAACTACAATGGCAAGAAGAATAGATAGCTTGAGAGTAACAACCATAGCATTCTTAGCTCTGTCAGTATTTCCAGCTCCTAACTCGTTCGCCACTCTGGTGCTGCATATGTTTTAGAATACACATTTGGTATTAGCAAAAAATTAAGGGAGAATTAACAAACAAAAGGTTCAGAATTTGGACAACTTTTTGTTGGTCACATTACCTCGCAGCTGCACTCAGACCATAAGATATCATGTAGGCAATGTTTTGCGTATTTACACTGGAAGGTCACAATTCAAAACAATTGGTATTAGCAACCAAAATTCAGCTTTCAAAACTATGAAAATGTGTCGTTGACAAGGAAAGAAGCTTACCACATTGCAACAACGGAAGTATTTGTTCCTGAGTTTGGCATCAAACCAGCCAATAACACAAGTAGCTCGAAAGCCCAGTACTCCAAACTGGTATACAGCAAAATAGGAAATTATTGATAAGACTTGGATGGCAATGTGTTTTATTGTAATAACACAGAGTTTAAGTTTTATTACAGTGTAAAAGATATTTAAAGTCAAGTAACTTAAAGGATAATTGAAGGTAACTCTATGTAAATAACTGTTGATTAGTGACCTGAGAAAATGGTAAGCGGACTGCTATACATGCTAACATGCACTTATAATATAAAAGAAATTTATATTGTCAGTGCATATTACTTAATAAAAAAATGACAGCTAATTCTCACCACACCATGGCAGCAGAGGGCAAAGCCAACTTCAAGTTTGTTAAAATATGACGAAATGGCTCAAATGAGTAACCAACTGGCCTTATATGGCTGAATCTCTTGGAGAAAAGCACGTATATACCCAAAGTGAGGAGTGAGATCCAGATCGAAATTGAAGCTGCTAATGCTGCTCCTTTGAAAGCAAGACCTGTCCAATTTACCAACGCATAGGCAATGCCAATGTGGATAACCAAAGATCCAACTGAACACAAAGCCAGAGGCATGATGATTGACTGTGCCTGAAGAAATCTTAAGATGTTTTGCAGAAAGCTATATGCAAACAATCCAGGAATGAGGAACCTCAAGAACACGCCGGCTTCTTTAGCTATGTCAGGCTCTTGATGGAGTAAAATCAGAATTATATCAGAAAACCACCAGATAACAGCAATCACTGTAGAAAAGAAGAATGATATGATGCATGATGTTTGTAGATGCACTCCCAGCATTCTGTACATTTTTGCTCCGTATCCTTGGCCGCATAATGTCTCAAGTGCACCACTTAGGCCAACCTAGATTGTTAATCGACAAGTTCAATATTATTTTTTTAAATAATTAAGTAACTACATGTTGGACTGACAGCAACTTCCCAAACAGAATTATTATGCAGAAGATACGAATGCCCACACCACTGCAATCTGGGTTGCCACACTCTAATCATAGAATCATAAGGCCCAAACAAGTTAAACCGGTTAGTAGAATGCAACAGTAGTCCTCTCACATTATGTGTATGACCCCTTAGCTGCATGGTGTTGGAACATATTCCGGGATCCCATACACAAAAAAATCATCCACTTTCTAACTAAAACAAGATATATTTAAAGACATGTACTGTAGTGGGGCGATTATCTCTAGCAGCCACATGAGCATACAATTGAGATTGAGTGTGCAAGGAAAAACTCCCCTTCGAGCTATTAGGCAGAATGTTTTCAATAGGAAATGAAGTTACTGATCCTCTGATAACATTTGAATAATCCATCTCAATTGTATCCAAATCATTCTTAATTTTCAAGAAAAATTCACCAAGATACGGATCTTTCAAGGCATAAATTTGAGATGTCTCGCCCACATTTTCCATGAAAAGTGTATCAAGATACATCTATTCAACAGATTCAAGTTCGGCGTTTCTTCCATTTAAGCCACTATTTAAAGATTCTACATTGGTATCCCTAATTGGCAATTTTTCTAACACCTCACAAGCATCATTCTTGCATTCACCTTCCATGAAAAGCACATTGAGGAACATCTTCTAAAGCTTCAGCAGATTCTATAAGAATGAAATCTGAAGAAAAGAACCCTAACTCGAACTTATACTGCACTGCTTAGCTAACAACTCAAGTAACTAACTGTAACTATCTTCTAACAGTTCTAACTGCTTACTGCTTCTGCCTATTCAGCTCTTTTTCTTACCTCAGCTCTAGAATTGCATCAACATGATACAAAACTTTTCTTGATAATCTAGTTAATTGTTAAAGCTTTAAGTATGAGTGGTTCAGACAAGATTTGGAGTACTATCTCAGGCATGAATCCGAACACGTAAAACTCAGCGTCTTTTAAATATTTTCGAGTTTTGTCGTTTAAATAGATAAGTCAGTTACAAAAGAACAAACCATTAGCTATAATAAAACAAACTAATACTACATCAAAATTTATAAAAAAAAAAAAAAATTAAAAAAACTTGTCTACATAAGGCATGTGCATTATTAGCTCTATCCCCAAATGTCACCGAATATCATGTGTTTCCTTAATATAAGGTCTATCAACATTATAATTGTTTACACCAGCAGTGTAATATAATAGATTGTTTACCATTTATTCTAAGCTTACCAATAAATATTATTAAACATAGTTACCTATAATTACCTTTTAAGCTGCCTGATCATGTGTAAATGTTTTTAAAACTTAAACTAAGCAATAAGTATGAAAGTTGTAGATATGCATACCATGAAAGAGAAACCAGTAACCATAGCCCAGGAATTAGCAAGATTTGACGAAGCAAGTTCAAGCTTGCCAAGATGACCCGCGAACATGACGGACACAAGGTTAATGAAGTAGAAACAACTGTTCACTACAATCATAGGTAACGAAAACAGCAACTGATTCTTAGCTTCTTTTACGTCGATCACGTTTGCCCACCACCTGTTTGATGAAATGTCTCTTTCGTTGCTGTCGCCGGACGATAATGATGGCTGTAACATAGGACTTTTTGGACTAGATGAACAATCTTCGGAAGCCATTGCCACTTTCTTGTTTTACTCTACTGCATCAGTTTAGTCGTCGTCCTTTTGTTATAGTAGTTTGTTTCTTTACCGGCAAGAAAAGTGTAGTTCAGAATTCGACCAAAGATAGTGCAGTTCGATTTGGGATAGAGAACTTCTCTTAACAGTAGGAGAGAGTTGCATATAATACGGTTTAAAAAAGATTAAAAAAAACGACGGGTCAAATAGTATTAGTAGTTTTTTTTTTTTGTTGGTATTTATGTTATCTTTTTTGTTTTTATACACTCCTTAAGAAAAATATTAAATAACTCTAACCATAAGAGTATACGTTTGTCAAATTTATACCTTATAATAGTTTCACTTTGATTATTAGTAGTATTTACTAATTGAAGCAGTGATGATTGATTAGAGTAATATAGTACGTAAGATGAGTTAGTTTGACTCGACACGGAGTTTAAGAAAAAAAGAATACTTTTAAAATTTGTGGTTTTAAAAATTTAAGGGGTAAAAATTTTGTGGGGCCATGACATTTGTGTGGTTATAAAAGCTTCTCATTAAGAGTAAAATGAGCAAAATAAAAAGTTTAAAGTTGAATTGTTTTTAAATTTAGAAATGTGTCATTTATTTTGAAACAACGTACCTCATCTAGTTTGAAACGGAGGAAGTAATAATTATTTTCTATTTTTCTAAAAGATAAAATGTAGGGAAAAAAGGTTTGCCTAATATTTAAGAGCTTCTACACTAACAAACGAGATCCGAGACCTCTTTTAAGGACGGAAAAATCTCATCCACCCCACTACACCTTTTATCATGTATTTCATCAACTAATTAGTTTTTAATAAAAAGCTGCTAGTTAAAAAAAATTAAATACAACGTTTAGCTGACCAAACATGGACAGATCTAGCCTTAAGCCTACGAGTTCCCTTATATTTGTTATAATAAATTTACTAAATATTTATAAATATCTGACTGTGAATCTAGTTATTGTTGTATATATAAATCGAGGTTCTTAACAACATGACTGGTCATTTTGAGTATTATAGCCCCTCTCCCTTATTTATTGCTGATTTCATGCTCATTTATTGTTATGTGACTTGTTGGGGTAGTTGGTTCGGTTCTAGGGATGTTTCGGGATGAATTGGGACACTTAGTCCCAAGGTTAGAAGTCTAAGTTGAAAGAGTTGACCGGGCGTTAACTTATGTGTAAATGACTCCAAAACGGAGTTTTGATGGTCCCGATAGCTCCGTATGGTTATTTTTGACTTAAGAGTGTGTCCGGATATTGATTTGGAGGTCCATAGGTGATTTTGGCTTGAATCAGCGAAAGTTGTAATAATAGAAGTTTCATAAATTTTAAATACTGAGTCACAAACATATGGTTGAGACGAACGAACTGTCAAAAATAATCACAAACTACTTGTATACGGTCAAATCCGAGTTTTTCCTCCATGTAATTGGTCGAGATTGGAACATGATGAACCGAGGGTCGTCATTGTAACATCAAGATAAGAAGCAAAATCAGGTTATCGAGTTCAAGATTTAGAGACTAATCAATATCGAGCTCGAGTCAATATCGAGCTCGAGTCAATATCGAGCTGTGATATGAAGTAGTGTTATCAAGCTCAAGAGTCAGAGACCGATCAATACCGAGCCCGAGTAAGTATCGAGCTCGAATCAATATCGAGCTCGAGATCTAGAGATCGACCAATACCAAGACCGACCAAGATCGAGCTTAAAGACAAAGAGCCGTTGCAACCGCACTTAGGGAGAGAATCTCGGCGAGAATTAAGGAAATGCTAATTAATTAATCTATCATGGGATCTCTAATATGTATTTTTTATTATATCCAAAGTAGCATTTTTTCACTATATTAAGAGTGGGTATCATTTCTATAGAGGGGGAAACATCCAGACAAGAGACATTAATACATTCTCACATCTCAAAGGTTATTGAGATTTACACAGAAATATAGCAAAGATTATCCTTTTTGGGCTTTGGACATTGATTCATCTTGCTTGTTTATAAACCATTCCCTACTCAACTTGGTTTGTATTTCATTCCTTTTTACAGTCAATATTCGATATATTTCTACTCATTTTTTTGATTTATACCAAGTTATACCACGTATCCTTAAAATTACGTATAAATTTAACTCTATCTATTTTTCGGTTAAACAGTTTGGCGCCCACCGTGGGGCTAAGGATAACAGTAGTTGTTTGATACAAATCTCTACAAAATACACTATTTTACACTTGCTCCTGGAAGTATCTTTGATTACAGGTTAAAAATGACGAACTCTCAATTAATGGCTCTACCTATCGACAATGAAGTTGGGCTTCAAGATGAGAACAGCAACCTCACGACGGGGATGAAGGGCCACCAGTCGATCTCGTTGGAGCTCGGGCCATAGATCCAATTGATGATAATTCGCATGTGGCCATCAAAGCGAACCAGCATTCCGACCCCGAAAATAACATTCATGGAGGAACTCGATCTGCAATTCGAAATACCCAAAATGTTGGAGACGACGGGATCAACCTGCGTATGACTTTCGAAATATTACAAGCTCAGCACGTAACGATAGCTCAGTTGCAGAGCTAAAATCAGACACCAAGCAGGGCTGAGCCCGGTCCACCTTGAGAAGTCACACACGAAACGGGGCCAGTTGTAGTAAGATCAAATGAACAAGAATCGGGGACTAATCCCTAAATTATTAAGGTGTTAGAGGAACTGACAAAACGAATTGAGTTAGTAGAAAAGAGGATTGAAGCAAACGACAAGAAAGTAGAAACTTATAACTCCAGGGTCGATCAGATCCCGGGGGCACCACCGATATTGAAGGGCTTGGATTCCAAAGAATTCGTACAAAAGCCTTTCCCCCCGAGTGCGGCTCGTAAACCGATCCCAAAGAAGTTTCGCATGCCCGAAATTCCTAAATATAATGGAACGACTGACCCCAACGAATATGTCACCTCTTACACATGTGCCATTAAAGGGAACGATCTAAAAGATGACGATATCGAATCCGTACTACTGAAGAAGTTCGGGGAAACCCGGCCAAAGGGGGAAATTATATGGTATCATAATTTACCGTCTAACTCTATCGATTCTTTTGCTATGCTTGCAGATTCTTTCATAAAAGTACACGCCGAAGCCATAAAGGTCGAGACTAGGAAGTCGGACCTNAGCAAACGACAAGAAAGTAGAAACTTATAACTCCAGGGTCGATCAGATCCCGGGGGCACCACCGATATTGAAGGGCTTGGATTCCAAAGAATTCGTACAAAAGCCTTTCCCCCCGAGTGCGGCTCGTAAACCGATCCCAAAGAAGTTTCGCATGCCCAAAATTCCTAAATATAATGGAACGACTGACCCCAACGAATATGTCACCTCTTACACATGTGCCATTAAAGGGAACGATCTAAAAGATGACGATATCGAATCCGTACTACTGAAGAAGTTCGGGGAAACCCGGCCAAAGGGGGAAATTATATGGTATCATAATTTACCGTCTAACTCTATCGATTCTTTTGCTATGCTTGCAGATTCTTTCGTAAAAGTACACGCCGAAGCCATAAAGGTCGAGACCAGGAAGTCAGACCTCTTCAAGGTAAGGCAAAGGGACAGCGAGATGCTAAGAGAGTTCGTATCTCGTTTTCAAACGGAACGAATGGATCTACCACCGGTCACTGATAATTGGGCTGTACAAGCTTTAACTCAAGGACTGAATGAGCAGAGCTCGATGGATTTACGACAGTTGAAGCAGAATTTGATTGAGTACCCGGCTATTACTTGGGCCGATGTACACAATCGATATCAATCGAAGATCAGAGTTGAAGACGACCAGTTGGGGTCTAGGTCCATTATTAAAAGGGACATCGACCAAGAACCAAGGTCAAGCAGGGATCGATTTCGGCCATATAACGAAAATCGGGGGAGCATCGGACCTGGTCGGAACCATGTGAGAAACGAAAGAAGAAATGATCAAGGTCGAGATAATCAGGGGTCATGACCAAAAACGACTTCGACATGCCCGTCAGGAAGCACAGAGCATGTCGGGCCTAACAATTGAAAGTAACTCAACTAAAAGCGATACTACTGTTGAGGTACGACCCTCGTTCGTTTCTCTTTTTTGATGCTTCAAAACTAACAATTGTAGGTAACTTAGAACAGCAGTTCAGTGTTAAATATTGCGTCAATAATATCAGAGGTTTCTCTATCTGATCAACCTCGAATAAAGGGGGGCGTCGCCCTCGGATATTAGCTGCAGCAAAGAAAAAGATTTACGTTAAAAGGTCTTCAAGAAGACAAGATTATTGTACGGTCAAATGAACCGTGCCCGCGTAGATTTCTCAAGCCTTAAGCATAAAATATGTACGCATGTAAGATTATTTCACACAAGAATGAAAAGAGGCCCCTATAAGAATTTATTGCATCTGATTTCTATGGATCTATCGAGCCCAAGGGCTGCCATTAATTCGAGTTTGAGAAATCATTTTCACTCGACTACAAAGCCCAAGGACTACCTTATTTCGAGTTCGAGCAAGTCCTCACTCGACCACTAAGCCTAAGGGCTATTCTTATTTTTAGTTCGAGCAAATCCTCACTCGACTATAAAGCCTAAGGGCTACCCTAACTCGAGTTCGAGCAACCATTCTCACTCGGGGACTATCTATCAAGCCCAAGGGCTTCCATTAATTCGAGTTCGATAAATCATTCTCACTCGACTGAAAATCCTAAGGGCTACATTAATTCAAGTTCGAGCAAACACTCACTCGACCATAAAGCCTAAGGGCTACCTTAATTCGAGTCCAAAGAAGTCACTCTCACTCGACCGAAAAAGCCTACATACTACCTTAGCTCGAATTCGAGCAAATCATTTCACTTGAACTCTATTCGTCGAGTCTAAAAGCTATCTCAGTTCGAGTTCGAACATTCACTCGGGGACTACCTACAAGAAAAGACCGAGTTTGAACATTCACTCGGACCTTCAAGTAATTGTTCCGTGCTAAGGCACTTTTTGGCCTTTGTATAAATTAACGAGAAAGGCAAAAGATTCAGAGGCCATAAAAGAAAGAAAGTTTTATATATACCAGAAATCATTTACAAGGGCACCATGGCCCAATCAAGTTTTTCTATAAAAGACCAAAATGGTCTTAAAAGAAAGAAGAAAAATACTAAAAGGACTTA